TTAATTATTCATGACTTTATTATATGATTTTCTATCATATATGTGTATATAATTACTAATTGAAAAGTGAAAGATTGCTGTTCCCAATAGATTTTCTCAGAAAAGTGATGTTCACCTACAAAGCCTATGACGAGACACCCTGATAATGATGGTTTGATAAAAAAAAATTTGTCTTTAATTGGTGTTTGTTACTCCTTTTGTTTCCATTTATTTGTTCTATATAAAAAAATAAGAACTTAAAAATAATATATTTTTATTAAAAAAAATAATAATTCATCTCTTTAATTTAGTTTTTTTAATTTCATCTTTAATGATGTAGAATTAGGTGAGTTAAAGATAAGAGAGAGAGGAGTGTGAGCTGCTTTACATGAGTCTTAATTATCTCATTAGGATGGAATTTGAGGCCTCAATTAGGGAGATGTAGCGCCACTGTATTTCCATATCAAAAATTTTAATTTTTTTTAGAGTAAATTGATAATAAATGCAATCTAAAGATTGTATAAGACATTAGGCCCAGTAAATATTTTTTATTAATGAGAGATCCACTCTTTGTGAAATAATTTGGTATGAAGTCCTTTTGTTATTTTGGGAGGATATTTATTTCCAATTTTATCTCTTAATTTATCTATTGACTTTTTTTTATCTGTTGACTTTTTTGACTATCTGTTCAAATTTTTTGTCTATCTATTAAATTTATATCAATCTATTGAATTTTTTTCTCTATCTGTTTAATTTTTTCCCTTATTTGTTCAAAATCTGTGGGTTTCTTTCTCTATTTTGTTTAAAATATGTTTAGAATTCTCTCTATCTGTTTAAAATTTGTGGATTTTTTTATCTCTCTATAGATCAAAATTTTCTGTTCAATTTAAGTTCAAACACATCATTATTTGTTCAATTTTAAATCAGATATAAAGCTATAAATCAAAATAATCTGTTCAATTTTAGATCAAACACAATATTATCTATCCAAACCACAACAGCTAATGCATATAGAGAGAGAGAGTAGATCGGTGAGGAGAACACTACGGCGAATCGGTGACGGAGGTAGCAGCGGACTCCAACGACGTAACGTTTTTAGTTGACGTTGATGTGACGGTGCCAGGGGTGCCAAATCTTCGTCGGAGCGAACAATTCTGCTGCCGCGGCACATGTTTCAAAAGGCACCTTGGGCGGTGCGATGAGTGCTGCCGTAGAGAACGTAGGGGATGTGAGAGATGGCACGGTCGATGCCCCAGGACTCAACGGAGATCTGGTGGCCGGTATTTTTTGGAGACGAACACAGAGAGGGAAGAGAGAAGAACAGAGAAGAGTAAGAGAGAAAATGATAGATTTGGTGTTGTGTTTCACTGTGTAATATATATATATATATATGGGCAATTTGGTCATTTTACTTGAGTTTGTCTTTTTGAACAATGTATTTTAACGCCTAGACTTTTGACTAAATAAAATTAAAATTTGAATTTTTAAATCGAATGCCTTTTTTTAACTATTTAAAAGATCTTATTAAGTACTTTTGTATTAAAAAAAATTATTTTTTAAATAATAAAAAAAGAAAAATGCTTGGGAGTACTAATTAGTGCTCCCACTAATTAGGTGGCAATGAGTCCCGCCATTAATGATGTGATGTTTTAATCTTGGAGTTGTATTTTTTTTTTTTTTTTTAATACATTAATACTATTAATGGTGATGTTTTTAATGGAATGAATCATTGTTGATAAAAAAATTCATACCAAACAAACAATTTGGAGCGGATGTAAGTTAAGCTTACTAGATACAATTGAAAATACACTTCACATGCACCGAAGATAGTTCTAAAAAGTTTTCACGGATTAGTAAATAGTCTTTTTTTTTTTTTAATTTTCTTATTTATTAAATATTTTTTTAAAGTAATGACGTAATCACAAATTCATTATTATTAAATTAATCAAATCATTTGCTTTATATAGTTTAATGCAATGATCAACCGAAATCATCTTCCCCTCTTTCTTTTTTGGGTCTTAACAACTCTTTGGAGCCCAACATCACATGAATCCACAGCCCGAAAGAGGAAAAAAAGAATAAAAAAAAATATTTTTAATTGATTTGGACTATTTTAAAACTCAAAAGATTAAAAAGCAAAGTATTGTTTTTGTCTCTGTTAATCAGAAAAATTGGAATCCTTTTGTGTTGGATAAGAGATGTTCTTTGTTTGTTATTATATTCAAATTGTTTATTTTAAACCTTCTATATGTTAAGAAACATTATATTGTGGCATACTGCTAGATTTTTAAAGTGTATGTCCACATTGCCTTTGTCCACCATATTCTATTTACTTGTAAGACAATAAGATTAGAAAAATTTATCGATAAATCCACCTTGATATGTGCATGAGGCATTAGGTCTAAAAATTGATCTCTTTTTAGTTATAAGGACACACATATCACATTTTATGGTTAGTAAGTACAATCATTTAATGGTAAGGGTAATTCTTGATATTTTCGCCCTTTATATATATTTTGTGCTAAATTTTTTTAAAATATCAGAACTTAATTCTACAAATCTATTGTTAACAAAATTGGTATATTTAAATTTGGCATTTTCAAATCTTTCAAACAAGATCAATATTAAATATGAATTTTTAAAAAAAAAAATTGACTAGATTGATTTTTGGGTAAATCAAAACAAAAAAATACCCCCCCTTTTTTTTGGGGGGCGCGAAAGTAAGCATTCAAAATCACCTTTGGCAGTTTCGAATAGATGGATCTCGAAAAAATATATGAAATAAAAAATAAAATAAAATAAAAGTTGCTAAGGGTGTATTTATAATTACCCAATTATATACTTCCACAGTTAAGTGAAGCTAAAAAGAGAGGGATTATTTCGGCTACCACCAAAGTTACATGGCTAATATTAATGAAAAAATGGTAGAAGTCCTAAAATTTCTATCAAATATTTTACTAAATGTCTCACATGTGTGGACCCCACACTTATGTCGGACTCATCCCATATGAGACATTTAGTAAAACATTTGATAAAAATTTTGATATCCCTAACATTACTCATATTAATGTGATCCATTGATATTTGATCCACATGTGTTCCTCACATAATTAAAAAGTATTATACAAAAACATATTTTTTTTAATCAATTTTTCTTACAATTAGACAAATAGAGAATGTATCTGGCTTGCATTTTTTAATGTAAGCTTTACTATCTAATAATAACAAAATTCTGTAAAAAATTCATTTATGATTAATCTCCAAATAATTTGATCCCTAACATGACAAAATTATTTGCATATACTAGATTAATCTGGCACATTTGTGAGCAAGCAGTGGTAGATTAATCTGGTGCAGAAAGTACATTTGTGAAGTATTTTAAGGGGATTGGCTTCTCTCCAGTTCGTGATCGGACTAGAGAATGTTGTTAGGCCTGTGGGTGCCCACAAAGGATCTCGTTTCGATAATTCGGATCGTTCAATATGTAGAACTAGTCGAGTACTATATGTCTATAGATAATTACGTTGATCGGATATTTATAGCTATTTCATCGGATCAGATTTCTATCAACCGTTTGTTTTTTCACTATTCATTTTTTTTATATATACAAAACTAATTTGATCACATAACTATCGATATCCGATCAACGTAATTTTTTATAGGTACATAGTACTCGACGAGTTCTACACATTAAATGATTCAAATTATCAAAAAAGGGCCTGTAATGGGCTCCACAGGCCCAACAGCACCCTCCACCGGAGGAAAGCCAAGCCCTTTTGTAAACCACAACTTTAGATTGGGTGTGGAAAAAAATAAAAATCAATTTGTGCGTTCAAATTGACTCAAACCAACTCATACTTATTGAGAAGGTGAGCGGGTTGAATAATTAAAATCGACAGATTATTAGACTTGCGGATCAAAAATTATCAACTTGTTTACAAACAAACTCATCTATATGTAATTCACCCCAAAAACTCATCTATATGTACATGTAGAATTACATTGATTTTACCCACATGCAATTTTTCTCTAATCCTAACACCATTAAACAGATAACATCCAACTCTCATTTTCATTGCTTTGTTTTTCCCCTTCTTTTCCTTCTTAATTTGATTGTTTATACATTAATTTGTAAAATATAATTTTAAACGTTATACATTTAATTAGTTTGTAGATTTTGTGTTGAAATTTAGAATAAATAATAGTTTGTTTGATTAAAATTAAATAATAATAAATTAAGATCATATGTTCACTAATGTTAATTCACATTCTATATTTCTAGCCCACTTAATCCACTCAAGTCATTGGTTTGAAATCGCTAAAATATTAAACCACCTCAGTGATTTTAAAGATGAGTGAGTTGGCAACAAGTTAAAAAAACCTTTCAATTTTCGACTTTCCCTCCAATTTAACCCTCATTGAAATGTCATCCATTATTTGTGGCTCTAATTATCTTCTTAATACTCAAGTATCACCACATTATAACTACAATCTCGTAAAGATCTGCTGATCCAACCACAAGCATAAATGAGCATAGATCCTTTATAGTAATTTTTTCCAAAAGTGATCGTAAAATAATGTGTTGTGCACGTAAGATCTAATATTAAAGATTTTAAAGTAATTTGTTATATCCAAACATTAAATCTTAGTCATACAACACATCATTTTAAGAACGCATTTAAAAAAAATACTCTAAAAGATCCCTGCTCAGCGTAAATAGGCTTATGTCAACATTCAAAACCCATACATTATTTGACATCCAAATAATTAGTTGAAATTCACCCACCAGCAGCTGCACCCTTATGCAGACACGCTGCACTACCCAAAATCTAACATTCAACGTAAGCATAGCTTTCGGCTGAAGAAAAAGAGATAAAAGGGCAATTCAGTGCACAAAACTCCAACCATTGTAAGGTTTGGAACTGATCAGATGTACCCAGTCTGCAGAAAGACTACTTCCATACAGAGAAAGAGACTCCAGCCATTGTAAGGTTTGGAAAGAATCAGATGTACGCAGACTGTAGAAAAACTATTTCCATACACAGAGAGAGATGCTACCCATTATTGCAACTATACAATGGATGTTGTAGGCAAGCTACTCCATATAAACAAAATTAAAGGCACTTAACACAAGAATATCTTGAATTCCTCTCCAATCACTCCATCGTGTATTCACCTGACTCTGGTCAGAGAAAACCATCACCCGCCTTCTCCCTCTCCATCCCACTCCCACTATATATATATATATATATGTGGAAATTAGACTTCAGAACAAACTCATGTAATTCAATTTGTGACTCCAAGTAATAAATGAACTTATAATGCGAAAGTAAAAACAAATCAGCCACTGGTCTCATTTTGGATGGAGTTCATGTATCCTTCAACCTCATACTTCTGGTATACTGCTAGTTCATTCTCTTCCCACCATCTCTCTGCTTCCTTCTCGGTGAATTTCTTTCGGCTGCAATACACCATTCCAAGGTCCAATTATTGTTCAAAGTTCATTTAAATTTCAAAGAACTACAGCTTAAAACAATGTGACACCATTGACCCGGATATGGATAGCATTAACACAAAATCACAGTATGAGATGGAATAACCATCCATATTATAACTTATAAGAAGCTAATTTCTCATCTATATTACCTTAGAAGTGAGGATATGGACACATGACACAACATAGAAGCATTGACTCACAAATTTTCAAGATCAAGATAGACATGGTGGGGACACATTGACAAACAAACATATTTTATATATATATATATATATATCAAAATAATAACTTATTGATTTATTACATTAAGACATATTTACATTTTAATATTTTAAAACAGTGAAAAATTATTCATTTTCTACATTTATATTTTGGAAAAGGGGCATGAACAAAAAGCCCTGATTTATTTTAAAAGTAAAAGCTTTATTCCAAACAAATTGAAAACTTTAGACTTCAGGATTTCTAAAATTTAGAAGCCCATAGGAGGGATTTACAGGGGTAACTTCACACTGTTTTGATTTTAATCATTTGTCCCCAAGTTTTTTTCTTCAAACTTGCATCAAGGCTCATGTTTTTCATGTCTCCAAGCGATAGACACGTGTGTCCCCAAGTGTTCAAAGTGTGTGCACTTCTAAAACAATTCTAAAATATAATAAACCACATTTGGACGCATGTCCATTACATGTCTAACATGGACACAATACCTTCGTAGAAGTGTCCGTGCTTCACAGGACAATATACTTCATTAATAACTATTGTTTTCTTTTTCATTTCTTCTAAGGAGCCATTTTTTTTTACATATACAATAACTAATTGATCGAACATCCATGCAATAAAATCCCATTGACGTAAAATGATTCTGATGGATAGACGATTACCTGAATCTCACTCGCTTGAGACCCTTTTGCCCGCTCGGCAATGTTATAAACGTAATGTACACACCAGGTTCATGCTTTTCTACCCATTCTGGCTTCAAGGTTTTGAATCCATTTTGTCTAGAATCTGTTCTTTCGACAATCGATTCCTGTGCTAATATAGGGCCACCATGATACAAGTCTCCATCAGAGATTGATTTTAGGGTATTGGAGAACAAGATAGGAGAACTACACACACTACCAACTTTTCTATCTTCTAGTGGTTTGACTCCATAAGGCAACATTGTTTTCACACCATTTAGGGTTGGGCTACCCATAGGTATGGATGCTATTTGAGACAGATGAGGACTAACTTGATCTTCCAATTCTCTTCCACCATAAAGTTCTTCTGACATAGTATGGAGCTGCAACAAATAATATATGTTTCACACTCCATTTATTATTGAAGTAATATTATATATATACACATGTATGGATATGTTAGTAGAAGCTAAAGCCATCAATCATATACATTATTCCACCAATATTATCAAACACCATTTATTATTGCTCTGATATGCTCCCATTTGGTAACAGGTTTTGATTTGTTTTCCAAATTTTTTTGAAATTGGAAATAAAAATGTGCTTGTAAATATAGCAACAGTTTTTGTAAAAATTTCTAATTTGAGGAAACAGGGAAAAAATGTTCACTTGTTTTCAAAAAAAAGCTTTCATTTCCACCTCCCTCCCACACCACCTCTGTCCACATCCTCCAGCAACATACCAATCATGATTTCTTGTTTTTGTTTTTATCTGTTTTGAAAAATGTGTGAACCAAACATATTTTGTTTTTTGTTTTTTGCACCCAAAAAAAAAAACATGTTTCTTCTTTTCTGTAAATAGAAAACATGAACTGGAAATGTTACCCAAATAATTAGGAAAGGAATGATATTAGTTCTGACAGATCAGGCTTCTCATTATTAAATATATGAATTGTGGGATCACTATGCTATACTTGTGGAAAATATAGATATGCTTAATGAAGCTTATATGTCCTGTCCATTTCTAGGAAAAAAGGCATTCTCAAAGATTAATAAGCCGAGGTTTTAGAAACATGTGGCATTTAGCCAACAGAGAAAATAGTATATTACCTTCAGTGTCAAAACTTTCATAACCTCCTTTGCTGCTTTAGACTTGGCAGCTTCCTCCTTTGCCAGAGACCAACTTTCTTCGATTCTTCGTTTACATTCATGAATTTTTTCGCTTCTTGTTTGACATAGCTTTTCAAGACTCACAGCCTATTAAGAGTGTATGAAGATCAGTAGATGTAATACAAGATGAAGCAAAGGCTTTTATATTTTCTAATGTAATAAAATCTATACATCAAAATGGATTAAGGAAATGCCAAGTAACAACTTACTCACTGACCAAACTAAAATGATAGCTACGGTTATTTGAAGCGATAAGTAACTATCACCACCACTGCATTTTTTTGGACAGAACATTTTCTAGAAAAAGTTTTCCGCATTTTCTAGCATTTGGTATGAGCACAACAGAAAACGGAAAATGAAAATCAACAGAAAACGTTTCAAGGTTATTTAGGCAGAAAATGTTTTCCATTTTTGAAAGATGGAAAACATTTTCTAGACTAAAATCTTACCAATGCCACCATCCCACCACCACCAAACTGCCACCTCCGCCAACCCAACACCACACTGTCACCTCCGCCAACCCACCACCGCCAACCCACGACTATCTCCGCCACCACTAATACAACCACTAGCACAACGACAGAACAAAACATAGAAAAACATTTTCTATGAAAAACAATTTTTGGAAAAAGTTTCCATACTTTTCCTCCGAAACAAATGGGAGCATACATGAAAATAAGACACCAGATCCAAACTTTTTTCCTTCGTAGGAATTAGGAAAGGAGTCATAAATCTTGGTATAAAAAAACCAAAGATTGCGGGGATAGAAGAAATTCACAAATGCAATGCGATAATGTTTGCATTAATTTGTCTCAACAGAAAAATGTAAACTAGTGTTTCAAGAATAAATATTCTGGAATAAAAGACGAAAACAAATTTATATCCAAGTGCTTAGGCAACAAATCAGAAATAAAAACAAAATAAATAAACAAGGATGAGAAAAAAAAAAAGAAGCACAGCTCTGTTTCTTGTTTCTAACCAATACTAGAGGTGGACACTCACTACATGCATGCAATTTGTAACTGGATCTAATAATTTTGATAGTTATTTGAAGCAGTTGGAGAGGATTGAATCCGTCCATATCAGTTATCATGTTCTGGGGGCATTTTCAGAAAAATTAAAAAAAAAATCTGACATCTACACCAAAAGAGGTGTTTGCTTCATATATTAGTATAGATATTCTTTTCTAAAGAATTCAGCCAACACAATATGATAATTCATTTTTTATGCATTTTTTTTTCTTTTTTTGAAACATCTATGCTTACTTTGTTGAGTACTGTCTTCTAACAAAAAAATTCTGTATTATCATGATACAAAGAAAAATCTCGAACCCCACTTATGATTTAGATTAACTATCTCACATAATTAAAAGAAAGCTATTATTGACCTTGCGACGACTTCTCAAGGACAATACCATGTGAACAATAAAGAATAACACACCAAACTCAAGTTGCACTGGACAGACTAGAACAGTCTAAAAATAGCTTGTTTGTAGCTAGTACAACTACAGGCAGTCAGGACTCGCTTTCTCATGAAGCAACTTCCCTAAAAAATACAACACAAACAACCATCCAATATAGGACTGCCTTACAATTTTAAGAACCAGATAGCTTATTTTTCTGTTCAAGAATTTACTTATATGAGCAAGATGGAGCAAGATTGATGTCACATCCATATAATGACAAACAGTCAAGTATATGTAATACAACTTTAAAGCTTCAAACATACATGTACATACACAGGAGCAATTACCAGGAGCAATTACCTCAGCTCTCAGCTTCTGAATTTCTTCAGTTAGAATATTTTCTGACTCCAAGAAGCCCTTCTCCACATTCACAGTAGTCGAAGTTGGAGATTTTGATCCCAAGTGGATCCGTTGTGAACACGCAGGAGGAGTTAAAGATAATTGATTCTCTGCAACAGAAACGTGGGCAATCGTGTTTTCTCTATTGTGATTTTTAAATGATTCAGGGCATGAGACCTGCCCCCATCTCGGAAACCCATTTGAAAAACAAGAAACGGGATCTAAATGCTGTTGATTTAGATTGGATTGGCTGTTCTCATTAGAAGATTTTCTGGTTAAAATCATTGGTGTAGCAGTTGCCTCTTCCCTATCTGTATTTTCATCAGAGTGTGTCTTCTGAGTGGTCAATAACAGTCTTGGACTACAGCTTTCAAACTTTGGAAGTCTACTCAAGTGTGGAATCATTTTTAGGTGGTTAAAGCATGGATCACAGACTCGAACATGCTTGCTTTTGTTAGGTGCCAGAGCTGCATTTGCAGCCTTCTTGCTGCTACATCCATGGCAAAACAAAAGACCGCAGTTATAACAATTATGCTTCTTCTTTGTAAACCCAAAAGCCACACCGCATCCTCTACAAACAGATTGATCAGTACTAGAGATAGATTTGTGTAAACAAATTGCAGCTGTAAAATTCGATCCACAAGTTATATTTTCTACCTGCCTATCTCTCAAAGCCACAACTAATGTTGGAGAGTTCCTATCTTCAGTATCACCTAATCCTAATTGCCCATTTGCCCCTTTTCCCCATGTATAAACACTTCCACTTGATGTCAAGACAGCAATATGATAAGTTCCCGAAGAAATATCCCTAACAAACTCATCTTTAAGCTTCCCTTGAACGATTGTAATTGATTTATCTTTGGCCTGTGGATTCCCCAATTGCCCGTGTACAGCACTTCCCATTGTAAAAACCTTACCCATGTTAGTTAATGCAATAGTCAACATTCTTCCACAGTCTACTTGAATAAAATCATGATCCACAAGTTGTGCAACACATATTGGTAAGAGCTTCCTCTCTTGATCAGCATGTCCAAGTCTTCCTTTATCCCCATCTCCCCATGTAAATAACTTACCACCTGGACCATTATTGAACTTAAAACGATCAACCATGATTTCCACAATTGCTGCTGTATGCCATGGCCCGCATGCAATGGATTTCACCCTTAAACCCTTGAGAGATTCAATTTCTTTTGGTCGAGAAATGCTCAGAAGATTCCCATGCCCAAGAACCCCAAAAGTCCCATCTCCATAAGTAAATAACTGGCCAGACGTGGACACAATTGCTATGTGCCATTCACCACAAGCAATTTGTGATACACTTACACCATCCAAAGAACCAGAGATTCTACGTGGCAGCCACTGGCTCCTGTTACTATCCTCACCCCACGTGTAAAGTTCACCAGAAAATGTAAGAGCACATGTTTGATATTCACCACAAACAACTGATTTTACGCAGACCCCAGAGAGGGATTCAACAATTTTTGGGTACGTAACATCCATATTAACTTTATTTCCGAGCCTTCCTCGACTCCCCTCACCCCAGCAAAAAACTTCCCCTTGTTTAGTAACTATGGCAGCATGCTTTGCTCCTAAAGATAATTTATGTACATCTAATGCCATGGAAGACTCTAGTAGTTTGGGTAATAAAGCATCGAATTGCATTCCATTATGCTTCGAAAATTTATCAAACCCACCCCCCAAACACCCCCGTTCCATTCCTTCTCCCCAGACCAAGACATCCCTCAAAACATTTTTTTCTATTTGTGTTGATACATGAACAGGTTTCTTTAACCCACTAAGCATACTAGTTTGAATTTCTGTGCTGGAATATACTGTTCCCCTCTTCTTGAGATCATCTGGTTCAATGTATGGAGAATTTGGAACTAAAATATCCCTTACATTTTGCATGCTTGACAGGCTTGATTCTGAATAAAAACTATCAGAAGAACATGATAAGCCATCAGAAAAACACCTCTCTGAGATTGACTGAGTGGGACTACCAGATACGCTGTGAACCTTCAAAATAAAAAACAAGGGCATCAGACTATTGATAAGAGTGTAATGACACAAACTCATACATCGTATTGGAGGCAGGCATATTATAATATTTCTCATCTATGAAACATGGGTACTCCAAAAATATTGCCATTCAAGTATCTTGGTACTTACTCGTACAGGTAAGGATGTGGCACGTACTAGGTACGTGAAATACTTTGGGTATGACATAGGTACGTTTCAGGTACTTCAGGGCATAAATGAAATTTTTAAAAATATATGGGTACTAGAAATTTTTATTGTGCCTATTTTTAAAAACTTTAAAAATATAGGATTCAAGGACTTTTGCAATTATAAAACCTATAAAAAATAGTTAGGGTTCTTTTTTTTGAACATTACAATGGCTCTGTTTGGCAGAGCTGTGGGAAAGTGCTTATAACTTATAACTATGAATATAAGCTGATTTCTGACTTATAAATTAAGTTTCTCCTGTCCCACTCAAAGAATAAGTTGATTTCTGACTTACAAAAAGCTATAAGCTGCATTGTTAAGCTAAACCAAACACATCAAAATAGCTTAAATTAAGCTGAAAGCTGAAATAAGCTGAAAAAAAACTGTACCAAACAGGGCCAATAATACTTCCATTATTTTCTGCATTTGATTTTTTAACTATTAAATGTCATGTACCAGACTGTACCTGTATCCTATTATTTTTAAATTTTTCTATATCGGCATACCCGTACCCACACCCATGCTCTCCTAAATTCTCATAAAGAACAACAGGGAAAAGAAAAATAGAAAGGAAAATAAGATGGGAAAGGAAAATGACACTTCGTCCTCAAAGGGAAAAGATCCCATGCACTTCATGCTATCACCAGAAAAAAAGAAACAAATAAATAACATTCATGGTTTCGTCCCACCCACTTGTTTGTATTTAATGGATATTTCATCCTCCAACATATTTACAATATACAGGTTAAAACATTATTCATAATTATTCCAAGACCAAACTGTTATGGATGTGTGCCTAAACCCTTTACTCATGTGGCTAATTCTCGTATCAAAACTAAGGTTACGTAGAGCAGCAACTGCAATGTTTTGGAATAAACCAATAGGGAAAGCTACAACAAACCTGAGAAAATTTGGTGGTCTCCTCAGAAAGTCCCAGATTATGCTTTCTTCGCATATAGCCAGCTGGGCTATTGACACAAGATTGTGCCACTCTACCGGTTTTGGGTGCAACTAATAATCTGGAATGGTGACACCTGGATATTACGGCTCTCAAGCCTAAGCACCAAGAATCAGCCTGTGCTTTGTCCTTGCATATCTATGTAAAAGACAAATAGACGCAAATTTTGAATAATGTAATCAAATTTTGAAGGACAATATGTATAAAAAATAAATAAATAGAAGTCCTACACTTACCAGATCAAGAGAGTGATGACCATCTGCATAAATTATTGAAAAGGACTGACTTTCCCTTTCTGGTTGAAGTTGCCTCTGGAAATTTGTCTGTAACAAGCAGATGCAGCATCCATATAAATGAAATGGCATTATCAGGAATGAATAATCAGTTGAAACTATCAGGACTGATCTTCGCCTTTTGATAAATTGTGGCAACTATGGAGAAAAAAATTAAAGCCTAATCATTTGTCTTACTCACACATATGCACACACACACTTATACACGTGTACAAGCGCACGGGTGCACACACACAGCATCACAATCACTTTCTTCTCTTCTTTTTTTTTCTTTTTTTTTTTTCCCAAGTACAAAAGGGTAAGAGGGGCCAACTAGTGCATGGAAACCCTCCCTGGGCGTGACCGGACAAGAGAGGCCAAAAGAGGCCCGACAATGTGGGGGTACTGCAACACAGGAGATCTGCAGGCACTACCTTAAGATGGGCTTGAACCATAGTCTGACCCTAGCCCAACCAAGGGTTTAGTGGCAAGGAGTCAGTGGCCCGGGATTAATAGGCAAGAGTCTCGCCCCTGAGCATCACCTCAAAGACTCAAACCCATGTCCTCCTGATCACCAAACCACGTGAGATTAAACCCCCACCACCAGGCTACCACCCTTGGGTGGTGTGACAAATCACTTTACAAAGTAACTTTTATGTCCTTACAGTCCTCTGTCCGCGAATAATCTTCGTAATTGAGCTTAGTCTCAATTGCTTTTCCTCCGGACCAGAATACCAGATCAAAAACTTCTCATCCTGAAACCAAAGAGAGAAGTTTCCACTTATATATTAAGAAGTTTCTTTATATCAAAAAGAGAAACAAACAAAAAATCTAGATGATGTTAATTTCCTATATTAAAGCAAAAGGTTGACTTGGCTCGAGTTGGCTACATAGTGACTAAAAAAACGAATAAGAACAATTTGTGTTTCTTTGGTAGCAACCCTGCCAATATACTTCTATCCATCCTTGAGGAGAAAAGAAGTAAATGAAAATAACATCTCCATACTTCATCAAGGATGTCAGAAATCTCTAACACATGATTTTCTAGTAAAAGGGTGTAAGCCAATGTACTTTTTTTTTCCCTTTTTCTTTTGTTAGAGATGATACAGACTTTTTTTCCTTTCTTTCTAGATATCAGAAATAACAATTATCATCATTTCAAATTTGTTGAAATGTAAGCATATCATAATACTGTGACTTGTTTGATGAATACATGGACCATAATTTATCATATCGTAATTATAAATTGGTCCTAAGGTTTAGCTTGAGAGTCAATAAAAATTTGCGCCATCATATTTGACAATCTTTGTAACATTGTTCCAATTGAATTTCTGGGAAGGTTGGATTCAAACTGTTGGATAGATTGACATATATTTTTGGATTGGCCCCTTGTCCTAACAGCTTAAACTTTCAGGACAGTTGGTGATCTAACATATTATCAAAGCTCAGGTTGGTTGAGAGGTCATGTGTTGAAGTCTCTCCATTTGCTTGATCCCTATTTGCATTCTACTTCTCTCTATATGTGTGTTGGATAGCTTGATATATATTATTAGGCCAATTTCCTCACACCTTAAGCTTTTGGGATAATTGGTGATCTAACACAAGCATCAAACTTTAGGGATCAACTGGTATATGGTAGTGTTATCCACATTCTATGATCAAACCACATAACAAATTATTAATGGATCTAGTTAGTTTACCATTATCAGATGCTCGCAGAGTTTGAATGTTTATGACAAGTTAGTTAGGTACTTCTCTAAGAGATGAACTGCTAACTGACACAATTTTCATGCACAAATTCATAAAATAATATTATGCATATTAAAATCATTATGAAGTGCTCTTGTACACAGTTTTCTCTAATTGCCTACCGTGGATAACCTGAAAGGGCAGAATTTGGGTTTCCCTCGTCGCCCATACTTCAGAAGATGTGCACCCTTTTTTAAACCCACAAGTGCCTGCACAATGTTTAAGTCATTTGAAGGAATATAAACAGTCTGTCGAATAAAAATAAAGAGCAATAACATTTTATTTAAACCAATTTGGCTTATTTATTCATAAAACTAATAGTCTTTCCTTTTAAAATATTGAGATCCCTTGTTCTTGTTTTGATTTTGATCAAGAATTAAATTGCTAATATTTCAAAACCTTGATAAAAACAAGATAACAAAAGAAGAGAAACCAAGAAGCATAAAAACCAAATGGGGTGGTATTCTAAACCAATAACCAAGATGTCTCGTACTCTAAACAAACTGTAAGAATGAAGTTGCATTGAAGTTCATTAGCTAAAAGACAAGTCTCCAAAAGGTTTTAGTTAGGTAATTGCAAGGGATATGTGCAATCACTATCATGAGACACTCACAGCCAGTGTTGTGTCAGTATTATCAAATCGCGATTACATATCATGTACCTTTAACACCAATTTTATACATTGTGTGAATTGTATCCTATAGTCTTATTAACATCCACGAGAATCACTACAACAGGACATTCACACTAAAAAAATGAGAAGATATAGAATAAAGGCACTTTAAAAATAAAAATAAAAAGCCAAATGCACCATTAGAATCCATGAGCCCAAATTCTTATGAAATTGCCGTTAAACAAAACTTTTTGTAACTCAAAAATTTTAGAATCAATTTGAAATGGTCCCTTCCAAAAATCACTGAAGACCAAAAAATATTTTTTCACCATATGAAAATAGCATCCCACAATATACAGTCGCAAACAAAAGTAAAATCAACAATTTCTGCATCTCTGTGTGTGTCAAATTGACATCAACAACCAACACATTTACAAAGAGGAAAAACTCACACTTGAACTCAAATTCATAAATTTAATCAAGGTTCTACAAGACAATGTACATACAAATCAACAAAACAAATTATAAGAAAATCAAACCAAAGCAATGCCTGAATGATCCACACAAACAAAAGCTACTAGAGTGCCCAAAGCCAAGTTGGGTTTTGAATTTAGGCTGTGAATTTTTCTTTAATCATCTCAGATCATATCACTTTATCCGATAATTACAAAGAAAGGTCATACGAAAATTTAGAAAGAAAGAAATCAAATGGAGGATACATCAATCACAAAGATCCATCCAGCAATACATTGAACAAGAACATCATTTTAAAGAATCAAAAAATTCAGTGTATGTAAGAATTAAGACCTGTTCAACTGCTCTATCAGAAGGAACTGCAGCAAGGAAATCTTCACTCATTTTCCAGATGGGTTCATGAGAGAGAGAGACAGAGAGAGAGAGAGATGGGTATGAATGAATGAATGAATGACAAGAAAAGAAGCAGACAAGAGAGGCAGGAAGGAGGAGGCTTTGGTTTCCTTACAAAGAACAGAATATGTGAGAATGCAGTTGGAGATTCTTCAAAACTCTCTGCTCTGCAGAGCATAAGGCAGACAGAGAGAGAGACAGAGAGAGAGACAGAGGGGTAATCTAAATACAGTCTAGAGAGAGAGAGACAGAGAGAAAATGAGAGGAGAAAGAGAGAAGAGAGAGGAGATCAATGCCTCTTTATTTGATTCTCTTTCTTTTTTGCTTGGGTGATTCTATTCTTCCATGATGACTATTGTTTACTTGGTTGTTGTGCATATGCCATATTACATATACAGAGAAAGAAAGAGAGAAAGAGAGAAAGAGAGAGAGAGAGAATGGGTTTCTTCTGATAACACTGAACCCAATCACACGTGTTCACAATCACTGTATATAAGCATGTACAGCGATTCGTATGTCCCAAACCAAATCCTTCTTCAATGTGATATACAAATTCCCCGAATTTGGAGGAGTGATTGAGACCAAATTTTAAATATCAAAATTTCCATGTAAGTTTTCAGTTATAATTTATTAATTAGAAATAATTTAAATAAATTAAAAAAATTAATTATTTAAAAATTGATCAAGAGTATTTTGATTTTTTCTTTGATTTAGGGGTGGTTTGTAATGATCTAAATAAGTGTACTTTTTGACTTTTTATAAAATATGAATTGGGTTTGAAATGACGTGTTAGAGATGTAATGTAACTTAAATAAGATAATACAACTTAAATAGAATAGTAATTTTTTGATTTTTTTAGATCATGCCAAACAAGATCTTACTTATAATAAGTTATGCTAGACAGGTCATTATACCAAAATTATTTTCCTTATGGAGTTTTGTGAGAACTCCAATCTTCCTAATTAAATTTGTGAATTCTTAAATTAAAATGTAATTTAGAAAAAAAAAACACAATTGACTAACTCATAAACTTAATAATTATAAAATTAATAATTATCCTACTATTTATGCTTTTTTAAGATAGAAGAATCCCTTTCTTCATTTGTCAAATTCTATTTTCTCTTACAAAAATTTAAAAGAAAATATTAAGAGATCTCCACTACTAATCTAAAATTTCTTATTTTATAATTTTTAAAAATTAAGAAATACACATGTGATAAAATTATTAATTCATCTATCTCATATAATTTAAAATTTTGAAAATATTTATCTAAAAATTCTAAAATAAAATTATAAACACATTTAAATCAAACGAAATTTGAAATTTTTTTAAGTGCATGTTTAGCATAAAATTTTATTCATATTTAATTCAAACTATCTGTTATAGCTATATATTATTAATGCAATTCAAAGTTCATTAATTTAAATTTATCCATATGTTGGGTCATCTAAATCATATCTAATTCTAAATTTTAAAATATTTAGATGAAAAGTTTAAAATATTTAAGCCGTATCTAATTTGAAATTTTTTATTTTTAAATAGAATTTTAAAATTCTATGAAAATTTTTTGCACGCTTTTACACTTGGACTTCAACTATTTGAACTCAAAATATATAAGTTTTAAATTTTTTGACATATGACATAATCTTATTATAAGAATAATTTGATTACATGTAAAATTTTGAAATATAAAAATCTTTATTAATAAGATTACACCATGCAAATTGAGAATGCATTATGTCTATTGTTTTTTTTTTTTTATATTTAACATATTAGTAACTCTCAAAAATTTATAAATTATTATTTAAAGTGTAGATTATGCACAAATCTATTAACAAATAAAAAAACAAATCTATATTCATATCCAACATAAAAAATAATATTGTATTTAAAAAATAGATTATGCTGATTATAGGTCATGCAGCCATTCTGACACAAGATATCAAAATTTATAAATATCAAACCTTAGGCCCCGTTTGTTTTGAGAGATAAAATGGAAGAGATTGATAGTGAAAAAATTAATAGTGAGGGGATTGTTAGTGATGGGATTAATAGTGAGGGGATTAATAGTGAGAAATTGTTAAACTATTTTTATATAAAATAATAAAACAAATAAAAAATATAAAAATTAAACATTAATATTTAAAAAAAAATTTCCAATATATAAAAAATAAAAAAAATAAAAAAATTTCTAATCCCTTCACTATTTTTCTAATACCATCTCTACCTCATTCTTACCAATCCCTCTTCCTCCTCTTTACTAGTCCCAAGGGATTACTAATCCCCTCCCTATCTCTCAAAATAAACACCACATTCTCAATTCCCTCCTCATTATCAAACCTAATCCCCTCTCTGTAACTCCAAACAAACGGGGCCTTAGGTCTTATTAATTGAAATGGCTGACACAGTTTTGTTAAAGCACACAACAAAAAAAGGTAGGCCCATGGGCTGTCCCAATTAAGTAATAAAAATTTAATTTACTTAATATATTGTTGTATTTGTGTATTAGTTTCTTAAGTTTTAATATTTGAAACATTTAAGAAATATTAAAAATAATCTATAGCGTCGGGGTCAAATTAAGATAATAGTTTTAGGGTCGACCAAATGTTAAATAGGCATAACCTTTAGAGAAATGACTTGGTAAGCCGATATTAAGGGAAGTGTGAGAAGATCAAGAGGTTTATCAATAAGAGGTGGCTAGAATGTTGAGGTTATTGGTATTCTGTTTTCATCTTTTTTATTTTATTATCCATTTTGATTTAAACTAATTTTGATTGACTAGATTTTGCAAAATAGATAATGAGATAGTTAGTACACAACAAAAAATGTAGCCCTATGAGTTGGTGCAGATAATTTTTATTTTATATATTTTTTTTAATCAAATGTCCAAACCAACTTGTGGAGATTTCTATTTCTTGCTAATTTTGTGGGGGGTTTCTATTTCTTGCTAATTTGATAACTAGTATTATTTTTTTTTCTTCCCAATTTAACAATAAAAAGGATTTGATCAAGGCTCACAAAATTTGACTCATTGAAGATTGATAAACTTTCTCAATATTGATACCAAAGATTTGGGATCTCATCTCCTTTTAGATTAGTTATCTAGCCCATTACCATTTCATTAAACTAAAAAATAAAAAATGCTTCTCAAAATCTTGTTGTATACTAGTCAGGATAAAAAATAAAAAAGTAAAATGAAAGAGTTTCATATTTGTTTTTCTTCCACAAAGTAAAAACTTGGATCACACTAGAAGTAAACTATTGTACATGATAGGTGTGTGGCCATACCTTACAGTGTTTGTGCTTTGTGTGTGTTTGTGTGTGACAGAGACTGACCATGAATGGGGCTATATTTTGCTTGCTGAATGTCAAATTTGTTGTCAAAAGGTATTAAAAAAAATGTAAGAAAAATTAATAAATAAATAAATACAACTCTTTTCTATAATTCAAATGGATCCAATTAGGTTATTAAAAATCAGTTAAAATCTGCGGCTTTGCTGTTCCTGTTCATGTAGGACCATGAATTCAGCTCCACTTATTTGTGTGGAATGATTTAAATGAATATATTTTTTAATTTTTTATAAAAAAAGTATGTAGTAGTGGTTCAAATAAAATAAAAAGATGATTTAAAGTAGATCACTCCAAACCACCCCATACATTTGAAATTCAAATTTTATATGACTTATTAGGAAGACTAATAGATATATCAATAAATATATTAATTTATATTTAATTTGGTATGCTTATGGATATTTCTGGCTAATCTTAATAAGGGTTACTCTTTGTTTCTTTTTTTTTTTTATTTCTTTTTTTTTTTTTTTTGGCATCAAGATTTTAGGATGTTAGTTTGTTAGTAAAATTATATTACAACTAAAGCGGTTGTCATTGATCTATTAACTCAAATCTCTAATTTTCCCCTCACCATACCCTAAGATTTACTACAAGACTATTACGAAAAACCTAACATCAAATCTTATAAGGATTACACATTCTTTCATTTATATCTTTTTTCAAACCCTTATATATACTATATGGAAAATGATACAAAATTTCACTTTCTAAACTTATTTTTAAGATTCATGATAGCTAAAAGAAAAACTTTTCTTGGCATTTCAGAAACCCTGAGAAAATTGAAGAAAAAAATTTCGCCATTTCTAACATTTCAATGTACAAAATCTCCTTGATAAATTTTTCTAACATTAATGTTTTTTTTTTAATTTAAAAAGCAATTTGTATTATAGTAATGATTTAGAACTCTAAATATTGAGCTCTGAATCCATCACTAGTGAGGTGAAAAAAAAAAAAAGAAGCACAACACACGCTGTGACAGTGGACCACATCACCAGTGACAACTCGAATTAGAGGTCTCAAGCTTTATTGTTTGCATAAATGGATGGGAAAGGTTGGTTATAGTAACTAACAGTTATCACAATATGCGCACACACAAACATAGATTCTTAAATTTTATAGTGTTCTCGTTTAACATATGGATTGGGTTAAATTAATTTATTAAAAGATAAAATAGATTAATTTAATTAATAAAATAAAATGTCATATCTAATTATTAAAATTTTTTTTTCATAGTCATCATATCTAAATTAAAAAAAAAAGTCAAAGTTTTTTTTTCCAAATGAAACTAATTTAGTCAGGATCAATTAATCAAAAAGTCAAAAAATTGTTTGGTTTACACTAAAAAAAATGCACTTATTTATCTTTTTATTTTTTTTAAATCACATTATTTCTTTACTTTTTTACATATATTTTTATAAAAGATTATAAAATACACTTATTTATATTATTTCAAACAGCCTTTCCAAACAAAGGCTATATATGTTCTTGAAGAAATCACACATAGTGGCCAAGAATGTCTAAGAGATTGGAAAACTTTGAGTTGTAATAACTATATTATCATAGTTGGGTGATCCAATCAAGTTGTCATTGAAGTTGTCAAATTTTCATTTTATTTAATGTTAGATTGACGAAAAGACTCGATTGACACTGGACTGAACTTAAAATTATAAAAAAAAAAAAAAAAAAAAATTAACAGTAACATTGAAAATATAATTGAATTTCTTTTATTTTGAGATTTTAACATGAAAAAATTTGAGAAGTCCGTAAGATTTATTACGGATTTTGTTTTAATAATTCAAATCGTTTAATTTGTAGAGCTTTCAATGTATATCATCCATAAAAAAAATTTAAGTCAATCCGATAATAGTGACCTTTTCATTTTATTGCATTTGTCTCTAAAATTATGAATGGTCTATTTTAAAAATATATTTGTTATCTATTTTTTTAGAAATAAATACGATAAAATGAAAAAATTACGATTATTGAATCAAACTAATTTTTTTCATAAATAATATACATTGTAGGTCCTACAAAATAAACGATTCAGATTATTAAAACAAAACTCATGGTGGATTCTATAAATCTTTTAAATTATTTTA